CAGCCAGCTGCTGCTCCAGCTCCCTGACCACCAGCCGCAGGTAGTCGAAGCTGGCCCGCGACAGGGCCTTCACCCAGCCCTCCATGGCGGCCTGGCTCTCAGCGGCCAGCACGTAGGTGCGGGCCCGAGCCTCAGCGAAGCGCACGGCGAAGGTGAACTCCTCAGCAGCCTCCACTAGCTCCACAGTGCAGCCCTCCAGGATGATGACGCCCACGGGCTCACGGCTGGCCACGTCCTCGAAGTAGAAGAGCATGTTCCCGCGCAGCACGAACCAGCGCCGATGGTAGGCCGCGTGCCGGCCGCCCTTCTTGTACAGGAAGCCCGCGTTGTCCACCGGGGCGTCACAGGTCGCGTAGAAGGCCAGGCTGCGCTCGTTCAGCTTCATGGCGGCCTGCAGGGAGCTCAGGGCCTGCCCACACCGGGTCAGCTGTCACTAACGTGGCCACTGCTGCCAGATCACCCCCTGCCTCATCCTGACCTCCCAGCCACCCTCCGGCGCCACAGCACTCAATACCCCTCTTTCACAAATAAGGAAACTGAGGCTCATACGGTGGAAGTGACCTGCCCGGGCTCACACAGCTCTCAGGACCAGAGCCAGGCTCAACCCTCCTGCGTTCTCCCCCCCAAAATAATGTTGGGGATTCCTACTGCATGCGAAGCCTCTTATGCATCTTAACTCATCTTGCAGCAAGCCTTAGTTGGCAGGGACTAGCCTGATTCCCATTTGACAGATGGGGAAACAAAGCAGAGAGGTTAGTCACGCACCCAAGGTCACAAAGCAAGTTGGGTGGAGCTGAAATTGAAACCCAGGCCTCATCCCTGGGGACCAGCGGGGCTGACCTTTTGTGGTCCCTTTCTGGTCCCAGTTTTGATTTCATAACTCAGCTCTGATTTGCCTGTCCGGGATATAACGACATGAGCAGAACCTATTTCAGAGGGGTGCAGGGACTTGGTTTGGCAAACATTTATTAAGCACCCTCTGTGTGCCGGGCACTGTTCTAGACACTTGATACAGTAACAAACAAGATGAAGAGGGTCACTGCTCTCGTGGTGCCGACATGCTAGTGGCAAGTGAAAAGGGAAGCAAATTAACAAACGGCTAGAATGAGTCTGCCTGGTGGTCTGGTTCTCAGTGCTGAGAAAATCTAATACGGAGAAGGGGTCAGGCGTGTTGAGGACAAGAGGAGTGTTTGATTTGACTGGGGGTGAAGGCTGTACTGAGAAGGTGACATCTGAGCAGATACCTAAATGAGGGGAGGGAGGGAGCCCTGGGACAGGCCAGGCTGAGGGAACAGCAAGGCTGTACTGAGAAGGTGACATCTGAGCAGATACCTAGAGGGGAGGGAGGGAGCCCTGGGACAGGCCAGGCAGAGGGAACAGCCAGTGCGAAGGTCCTGGAGTGGGAACCTGCTAATGTGCTTGAGGAACAGCCAGGAGGCCCGTGACGCTGGAGCAGGAGGAGGAAGGGGAGAGGCGGCGGAAGCAGTCAGACCGACAGAAAAGATTGTGGCGAAAAAGTCCAGAAAAGGGGCCCTGAGCTTGGCCCACAGTTATAGGAAGGGGGTGGGGGGGAGCATCGTGGACCCAAAGTAGAAGAATCTAACTGGGCACTTGGCTCAGAGATTTAATCCACTTCCCTGAGGAGCACATGAAGAAGGGCCGCACTGGCCAGGTAGCATTTACTGGGAGGTGATAGGTGGGCCCCTAATGCGACCACACCTTCCTTTGGGATTTTCCACAGCCACTGTGAGGACCTACCTTGTGCTCCTGCAATCACAGCCTCACTCTACATAGGACAATAGCTGCGTTTTTCAAGAGACGACGTATGTGAAGTCCCTGGAATGCAGTAGGTGCTCAATTAATGTTTATTCCCCAGCCTGGGCAGTGCTTTACTCAGGGCCTGGAGGAATGAGGTATGGGTGGTAGCTCTCCTGAGAGCAGTTCAACCTGACCCAGGGTGGAAGGAGCAACTGCTCCCAACTGAATCACCTAGGCAGTCAAGGAGGCCTTCCTGGAAGAGGTACCACAAGCTGTGATTTCATAGCTAAGGTGAGACTGTCCTGACCTAGCAGCCAGGCCAAGGCTAGAGGCCCAGAAGGCTCTACCTCCCTGTACTGTGTGACTTCAGACACGGGCTGCCCTTCTCTGAGCCTCAGTTTCTTTCTCTGCATTTCATGCATTTTCCTCAACAGCCCAGCTCCATGTGGCCCCCAGCCCTATTTCTCTCAGGAACCACCCACCCTATTTGTCCCATTTCCCTCCTACCTCTCAGGCCACCGCTCCTTCCCTGCCTTCTGCCCAGTCTGCTCTCGGCTTGCTCTTCTCTGGGTTGAAATGTCAGCTCTGTAGTGTCCAGGCTGTGTGGCCTCAGGCAAGCTTTAAGCCTCTCTGGGTCTCTATTTCCACATCTGTAAAACAGGATCATAAGAGCACCACAGTCAGGATTTTTGTGACGTTGACACAGTGATTACAAAGAAGTTTCTGAGCATGGTGCTGGGCGTGCAGTACGTGCTCAGCAGCGGTAGCTCTTGACGTTCTTCTCACCTCCCCATCTGCTCCCCTCAGCACTCCGTCTCAGCAAATGGCCTTTGGCTTCTCCCGTCACCCCCACTCTGACCACTCATCAAGTCCAACTGATCTCCCTCCAACCTCTTCCAAATCAGTGGCCTAATCTCTACCCACTGCCACTCCCCATTCGAGGCCCCCATCACCACTCCCTCGACAGCTCCAGGAGCCTTTTCATGGGTCTCCCTGCCTCTACCTTTGCCTCTTCCCTGTCCATGTTCTTCAGGGTAAGAGCCAAACTCCTTCCCAAGCCCCTCCCCTGATCCCATTGAAACCCATTCCCCCACAGAAAGATCCTGTTTAAAACTAAATACAACCATATCCCTCCACCACTCCAAACCCTCCCAGGACTCCCTACTTCTCTCCGTATAAAATTCAGTCCTCCCCATGGCCTCCAAGTTTCCTTCCCCTACCTCTGTCCCCCTTGCTCACTCAGCTTCAGCCACCGTGGACTCCTTGCTGTTCCTCAAACACATCAGGCACATTCCCACCTCAGAGCCTTTGCCCTGGCTGTTCCCTCTGCCTGGGATGCCCTTCCCAGCTCTTCTCATGGCTGACACATCCTCCGGTTTCATCTTGACCATCACCTCCTCAGGGAAGCAGTCCCTGACCACCCTAGATAAGAGACTTTCCTGTCACTCTCCTGTACCCCAACCTGAAATTACCTGGGTCATTTTTGCCTGCTCTAGGGGGGCAGGGTTTGGTGTTGGTTTTTTGTTTGTGTGTTGTTGTTGTTTTGTCTGAATTCCAGTGCCTGGCATATAGTTGGTGCTCAAATACCTATAGAATGAGTCAAACAGTCATCTTAAATCTCTCAACAACTCTGTTGAGAAGGTGTCTGTTCCCATCCCACATTAATAGATGTGGAAACTGAGACACAGAAAGGTTAAGTAACTTGCCCAAAGGTACGACACTGTGCCCAGGATCGCAGGCTCCAGACAACTGGCTCCAAGGGGCTGTTCCTGGGGTCTCCCCACTACCTGCGCCTAGAGCCACTTCCCTCACACTCGGCAGCCCTCCTCCGCTCACTGCCCAAAATGGGGCCCGCCCGGCCCAAGGTCACCTGAGACACGGGAACCACTCTGCCCATGGCCCCTCTTCCAGCCCTAGCAAGAACCAGGAAACGGAGGGGCACAGTTCTGGCTGATCTCCCCACACTCCTGTTGCTTCTAAGAAGTTCAGAGTCCACTGTAGGCAGTGCTGCTGACGCAACAGCCCCTGGCCTGGCAGAAAGCTGTAGGGCAAGCATGTCAAACTTGCTTGCTGGGGGGCCTGGCCCCAAAGCCACGTTCTCACTTGGACCAGTCCAGGCTGGAGGGTCTTGAGAAAGTCACTTCACCTTTCCAAGCCCCAGTTTCCTCATCTGCCAAGTGGGCTCTGGAGAGGATTCCATGAGCTAAAATGAGGAAAGCCCGATGCCCAACTCGGGGAAAGGCATCGAACATATTGCCGCTGCGAGTCGGCGTTTTCACAGCCTCACCTAAGAAACGAGAACATTAACACCCATCCCTCCGGAGAGGGTTCGATAAATGGGCCTGAAGAGCCATTTTGCAAAACGCTCAGCAGGTAGTGAGCACTTGGGGAAGCAATCCCACAGACAAGTGAGCTCAAGGTCCCGGGGACACAGCTGGCCCAGAATCCTGGCCTCCGGAGAAACTGAGGCCTGGCCTTTGGCACTCAATCGAGGAAAGAAACCGCCCCACAGGTCCTGGGGTTGAATCCAGCTGCCACAGGTGTCCCCTAGCAGAGGGTGTGGGGGGGAGGGCGTGGCAAGTACAGGCATGAAAACAAGTGCTGGGAGCCCCGAAGCAGCGGCCACAGGGACACCAGGAGCCGGCCCGGGCTGGAGGCGGCCCGCTGCCCATCCTCGGGGCTGGGTCTCCAGGGCCGCCGCTCCTCGCAGCCCTCTGCCCTTTGTGTGCCCTGTGGGAGCGCTCCCGAGTTCCCTAAAGGACAGCCGGCAGCGAGATGCGGGTGCCAAGCGGAGGCTTGTCCCCGGAGGTCCCTTAGGGGCTGGGGGCGGGAGGGCGGACTGCAGGATCCCGGGTTCGAATCCAGTCAAGGGCACGTACCCCACCTGCCGAGCTCGCCCGGGCAGCCGGGGTCCCTAAAGGAAAATGACTCCTGATGTGGGATCGCAAGGAGGCAGATCCCCAGCAGAGGGCTCCCCTGCCG